TTTTTTTTTGAAATAGTGGTTTTCTTATTTTTCTAAAACCGACTTAATTATTTTCAATAAATTTGTATAGAATTATTTAAATTACATTTACAGCATAGGTATTATGGACAGTTTATAGGGTAAAACCAGTTCTAAATTATTATTTTTATTATTAAGGACGTGTGCGAGTTAGGCTAAGTTGATGCTAAACCAAATGGGAGATTTTTTAGGATTTTTTGCACTGCACACATTTAGCCATTTATCAACACGTATCGACACATCACTACATTATCGGCACAACTTAGAATTTCCCTCATTTAGAACCCAACTTAGCCTAACTCGCACACGACCTTAGTAGGGAGATTTAGTACTGCGATCAAAAGATTTATTGTACAATCCTATGCTTACCTAAGTATTTCTTTTTTTTATAGATTGATGCAAAGGAAATCCTTATTTCCTTTTTTGAGGCCTCTTTCTCTTGTATACAAAACCCGTTCTTACTTACTTACTTACTTCTTACTTTTAAAAGGTAATAATTCAATCTTCAGTGCCTTGTTATATTAGAATGATTCTGAAGCTGTTTTTATTTAATTACATACAATCTTTTGAGGTTGAAAGTCCCTGTAAACGATTTTTATTGTAATAGTCCTAGTACATTGTACCACTATAGTCTTCTCTGTTTTTCTGCTTTTTTCTTACACCACAGAATGGTTCCGATTCTACAAGCACCGAGATTGTTCTTTCTCTTTACTCCAGAAATACCTGAAAATCCTGCTAGATATATATTAAGCAATAAGACCTCCAATTGGTAATATGTTTATATGTTTAATATGTTTATCTGGTATGAAGACCATAGTTCTGTGAAATGCACTGGAACAGTTGCCAATCTTATCAAAACCTTTCACTACGCTTTTTAACCGATTGACAATGCATACCGACATTTCACCCACACCTTTATTCCATGCCACACAACCACTCTTTTCTCATTTTACTACACATCCTATCCCAACCTATATATCCATCTTTCAATCTACTCATATTTCCTGCTTTTTGCAGTTCCACAATTTATCGAATTGTTTAAAATGTTTAAAGTAGAATATTCACCGTTGGGATTGGTGAGCGACACTTGTTCGTCGATATTGACGAGTGACTCCGGAACGTAGACTCGGCCGCACCTGGAGTGCTTATTTTGAGTATAGTGGCAACCCTAACACTAATGCATTACCTTACAAATAAAACAATTTCGAATTAATTTGTCAATAATTAATAATTTATTTGTTTTTTTTTATATATCTTGACTTTGTTTTCATTATTTCTGTACTTAACTAATGACTAAGAAAGGACATTTATTGTAATAACAATCATTTAGCATTTAAATATATCAATCTGAGTATAGTATATATATGCAAGTGTATGTATAAGTTGTTTTTGCAGTAATAGTATAATTTAAATTTATATATTTGTAAATTTCAATAATTAATATTATAAATATTTAATAATGGTGTACACAGCAGGATAACAAAATAGATAAGACCAACAACATAAATGGAGCAAATTTTTAAATTTCATATTTAACATTTCATAATAATAAGCGTTGCATGTTAGGAGTATAGGAATTATTTATATATCAAATATTTTATTCCTGGATTTTTTAAAATTTTTTTTTGTGTGTTATAAGCAAAAACAAAATATCATTTTCATTTCATTAAACTTTCTTTTTCTTTATAATATAGCTTAAAAATAGTTCACATCCACAAAAATTTTAATTTATAATAAATATTTAAGTATCAATAAAAATTACAAAATATACAGCTTAATCGTTAGGACAAAAAATCATCAATGAAGAAAAATTTGTATGCGTTTTAGTTTTGAAACTCTTTTGTTACTTCTGATAGAATTTGTTGTTTCATATATACTTTGGTCCAATAAAAAAAGGTTATAGCATTATATAAATAATTTATAAAACAAAATATTTGCGAAATGCCTTAGATCCTATGCAATAATAATATTTCACAGATTTGTCACGTCTACTCATGCCTTACGCCACAAATTGACAAAAATGTGCTGAAGTTATGCAAGCTGCAGGCGGGCAAAACGGTGTACACGATGTTGGCAGTATCTATGAACTTTTTTCGGAAATCTTTAAGACCGTTAAGCAATATTTCCACGGACGGTGCAGCAGTTACTTGATAGAACACTTTTAGGTGTATCGCTGGTATAGAAACTGTCGCAGAATTTGTGTTGTTGTAATGGTGATTATGGTTGTTAGTGGAGTTATGCGATGTATTAACATTGGCATGATTGTTAACATTGGCATCAGCACTGAAATCATCGCAATTGGTACTAGTTCCATCACTAACAATACGTTTTGCAGTTGGATAATCTTTAAGCAAACGTTTAACCACGTATGAGAGTATTTCATCAATGTTTTCCGTAGTAAGACATTGTGCCAAATGACAATGATTGCTGAGTATATCATCGCTTAGTTGAGTCAATTGAGTAGTTGATGAAGCTAAACCTATTGAATATGAGTATATATTTTTTAAGTTTCCATTTTAAAAAAAGAAAAACTTTTGTACCTGTTGAGACATAGCATACTATAGCTGCACAATTATTCTCATAATTCCAGCGTCGTCGTATAGAAATTGTGTAATCATTAACTGAGCAACCAGTTTCCTCATCTTTTTGTTATAACCAAACAAAATTTTTATGTTATATATTTGAGTAAATACAATAAAAAAAATGTATTAACTTACAGTCAAACCTATCGTTATGGGTGTGTGCCCAAACTTGCCATTCTACAAGCGCTTCTCGTGGCAGTGCGGGTACCACGATATAATCCATTATGGCATTAGTGGTGCGTCGTTCCCATTGTCGTCTAGCCTCCGCAATAAAAGCTGGATGTGTTACAAAACAAATACCATGTACTACATCACGTAACTGTCCTTGTGCATTCATTGCTTTTGCAATTCTACTTATGTGCCGCAAAGCAAGCTTACATTGCGGTCTTATGCCACCATCTATGATTGTCATACTACCAGGTACAAGTGCTATTTGGCCAGAGATATAAGTGATCTCACCCACCTTTGTTGAGTTCATAATTAAAACATATTTAATTTTAATCATTTTGCTATATTTACCTTTGTTGATTGACTGTAAGGCCCTATATTTGCTGGTGCCCAATGTGAAATACCTTGAACATGCATTGTGTGCCTTTTGCATAAATTATCTGTTGAGCTTGTATTAGAAGAAATGTTGCAATCCTCTATGTTTGCTAATAAAAAATTTATTTTAAATATATTACTGAAATTTTAAGAGATAGTTAAAAATTTCTCATTACCATCAATTTCATTAATAGAAACTGTTGCTCGTCTACGTATTGGTGTCTTATAAGCTATAGCTTCCATAACCACATGACAATCTTCTGGTAGTGGACATTCCACACATACACGAGTGGGAGGATTTTGAAAATGCATAGCTTCATCATATATACTATTCAATACTGAATATTCAGCCATGGAGCGTACATACAACGTTATGAAACAATAGTCAGCCAACTCATAATTGTGCTCAGCGGCTAAAAATTTCAGGTCACTCATTGCAATATGTATACCTCTTTAAAGTTGAATGTAATCTATAAATTAACTGTAAATTAATTAAATATAATTAAATATAATTTATTATCATTATATTAATTTAGTAACATATAATATAATATAATAAAAATCTAGTGAATATAATATGATAACATATATAGTAATATAATATAATAAATATAATATACTATGATATAATATAATATAATAAATAATATAATATAATATAATATAATATTAAAATATTATAAAATAAAAAATAATAAAATATAAAATAATAAGAAATATAGAATATATAATATAATAAAAAATATAGTATAATATAATAAAAATATAGTGATATAATATAATAATATGTAATATAATATAATATAATATAACTATAATAATATTATAATATAATATAATATAATATAATATAATATAATATAATATAATATAATATAATATAATATAATATATTCAATTTTATTTTATCTTTGTTTTATTTATATATATATATATATAATAATAATAATAATATATATATATATATATATATGTATTTATATATATATTTATATATATAATTAGAATTATCAAAATACTAATTATAATAATAAATATATATTTTTAATATATGAAACGATTTACGATGAACAAAAATCGAATCATCAAGCAAAGGATAAGCTTCAGTGGATCGCAGTATGGCAGCTGCTCTACCACTTACAACACCTTGCCTGCTACCAAAGTCGTTTACAATTGATTCTAGGCATTGTCATTATATTTTATAATGTTTTTATATATAACTAGCGCGTCATACAAGTGATAATATCCTCCTGCATTTGCTATGTTATATTTAAAATTGGCATCATTAAACATTGTCGTTATATATATGAAATAAATAACTTCGAATGGTTTGAAGCCATACAATACAATTGC